ACTCTGTTGTAGGAGGGGGGGGGGGAGTATAGTTCTACTATGGGGGAACTAAGAATATCTTCAGTCGTTACTGCGTGTCAGGTGTGGTCTCCCGGAAAGTGCATGTTTGCGGAGGGCCAACTACCCCACCCTACAAAAACTGAAAGTTACAGAAATACGAACAAACACCGTTAGTTGTTTTTTTTTATCTTAAGAGACAGAGGAGCTTCTGCATCAGCAGGAACAATGAAGGACAGTGGATGAAGAAAAGGGACTCTCTTGACCCGAAACCTTCTCTGTCGAACAAGTCTCTCTGGATCTCGTCGTGGACATCAAGAGGCTAGCCCAGAAAAGAAAAAAGATGGAGGGTGTTTGTTCGTGGCCCGTACCCTGAATTATGTTGAGGAAAGTGATGATGACAATAGCAAAAAATTGCAAATTATTTTTCAACACCGACAAACAAATAATTAATTGTGTTTGATTACACTCAGTCCACACTGACATACAGATTGAATTGATTCAGTTGGAGCCAGCCAGATATTCTTACATGGGGTGTGAGGGGGGGGGGGAGCTACCTTTTAGGCACAATACGACTGATGTTACATGCGACCTGGAAAATCAAAAAATGTGTTTCAATTTGAAGGTCACACTTTAATTTAGCTGAATTCAGGTGTATTGTAACTAAATGGCAGTTTTTGTCTAATTCATGGAGGAAAAATATCGAATTGATCTTTCGGGGATGTTTTTACTTTCATTGTCAAGGAATGTCGAGTTAAAGGTTTGGTTACAACACGAACAATGCCTTGGTCGTATTGCACCGAAATGCTGTCCGGGGAATCCCACTGTGTTATAGGCTATCTTTTTAGCGGTTCCTTTACGAATGTGTTTTGTTCTACTTCTTTCAGTATGATAAATACTAGATCTACAATAACGCATCCAACATGTCTATGTGTATGCCACAAGTGACAAATTGGACAAATCCAGTTCAAACCGTTTCAAAAAATAGATCGAAACTTAGGGTGATAATGTCATGATTTTGGAATTACGACAAACGAGATCGGAGACATTGTCCCTAAGCGAATGTAAACAAAATAGTCCGTTGCGGTGATTATGCTAACCAACCAGTTACCTGAACTATTTTTGCAAGTAACACGGTACAAAGTTTACATGTAAATTATGTACAACGCCTACCATTTCCAAAGAGGCATGGGAGCTAAATTCTCATTTTTAACTCATAAAGTCTCCAAAAAGCAAAAGAACGCGACTTCCGCGCTCCACTGCCATGGGGTATTTCATTTTGCTTCAACTAGATTGGCAGTATGCACTGGGCAATAGGCCTGTCGCAGCTGCACGCGGAAGACTTGAGTTTGATTCTTGAGTGGGGTATCATTTTTTCGAATATTACAGTGTGTTTATTGGGATTTGCTGCACCCTAAATTAACGTATGGTGTCGGCCTATACAAGAAAAAACAAAACAAAGAACCAAAGAAAACACGTACACTGAAGCCAAAGGCTGTCTTTGCAATGATCTGGCTAGTATATTGGCCCGTTGTCTCTTTGATGGGGATCAGCTGATCTTTCCGCGCACACTCTTCGAAAAACCTGGTAAGTGTCAGGGCTGTTTCTTCTACTGTCTTGCCCACAACCTTCAGCTTGCCTGTGCTGTAGAGTAAGTATTCAATGATGTAAACAAACGCGTAAATATGGCTATAATTTATTATTCTCAACGCATTAGAATATTGGGACAAAAAGAGAGAAATGGAAAAAGAAGTGAGACAAAATTGGGGGAGGGAGCATGGGAGAGAGACAGAGAGACAAAGAGAGAGAGAAGAGAGAGAGAGAGAGAGAGACAGACAGACAGACAGACAGACAGACAGACAGACAGAGAAGAGAGAGAGACAGAGAGAGGAGAGAGAGAGAGAGAGATTGAGAGAGAGAGAGAGAGAGCGAGAGAGAGAGAGAGAGAGAGAGAGACTGAGAGAGAAAAAGACAGAGGGAAAGAGACTGAGAGACAGAGGGAAAGAGAAGGTGCAAATATAAAAGTGACCATGAGTTACAGACAAAAAATGGAGGTGAAAAAGAGAGAACAGGGGGGAAGAAGGGATATGGAAACAGAGAGACAGGGAGTGAGACAGGCAAGACGATAAGCAAAGAGGTGCTCAAAGAGAGAGAGAGAGAGAGAGAGAGAGAGAGAGAGAGAGAGAGAGATACAGATAGACAGACGGACAGACAGACATACAGACAGACAGACAGACAGACAGACAGACAGACAGACAGGCAGACAGACACACACACAAACACACACACACACACGAAAGCACACACCCAGAGAGACAGAGAGAGACAGAGAGAGACACACACACACAGAGAGACAGAGAGAGAGACAGACAGAGACAGAGAGAGAGAGCGAGAGAGAAAGAGAGAGATAGAGAATTATAGATAATATTATTAGGAGTATACCCTGCTGGACTGGACGTAATCGTGACTAATGTGAAAATTTATTTGACTTTTACCCAAACTGTTGGACAGGGTGGACATACTGCTTCTGTATCTGAAGTGGTGATGATGATGATGATGATGATGATGATGATGATGATGATGATGATGATGATGATGATGATGATGATGATGATGATGATGATGATATAAATAAGGCTTAAACGTCTTCTCAACGCATTAAAACAAAACGGTGTAAAAAGTACACTGAATGGAATAGAAAGTGGAGAGGTATAGAAACAGTACTTCTCGTACTTTCCCGATGAAGTCCAAACTGTTCGAATCCTGCAACAGTTTGAAAATACGATAACATTACAATAAAAGCCAAGCTACTCATCTTGTTTAACCACTCTGATGGCGCCATTTGCTTTTTTTACTTACCTGAAAGATGGGGACATAATACGACGATATTTCTTCCAGTGTTGCCGCTTTGCGAAGAACAAACTCGAGGTTATGGATGTGTTTGAGACCAGTGCGGTAGACCTATCCACGAAATAGTTGAAGTCTTTCACCAGTATCTCTTTCAGAAGGTCAAGGTCTCGTGTGAGAAGTTGAAGGTTGGCCCTTTTCAACCCAACAGTGTCGCCGTACTCCTCCAAAAGCTTTTTAAATCCAGCCCTAAACAAAGGAACGATAATATTATGCAGTGAGTATAACGGTGTGAGTAGAACCGATATGAGTAGAACCGGTGTGAGTACAACTGGTTAATATAATATATAAAAATATATACACAGTGGCAATAGAAACTATCCACTTGGAAAGAAACCTGTATTGTGGTTATTATTGAAAAGAATATAAAAACGAAAATTGAAACAGACATAATATTTCAAAGAATGTTAAGAAGTGCGTTACCTTTTGTTTCTTGATCATGTCTCATAAACAGTGGCACAGTGTTAAGCACAAACTGGTACCCCATGATTTCAAAATTTCACGTTAGTACCGGATATTGTAGCCACTTGTAATAATGCAAGCTTGGCATAATCGTGGACCTTGATTGGGTCAATTTTTAGTTTCTTATTTTAATTCATTGTTGTGGCAGTCCATTACACTCTTGAATCAAGGCTTGTCCCTGTCGTTGTACAATGTCAATGTCGTTTTGGGAGCTCACTCTTAAGCCTAGTCAGTTCAAGAGTAGTTTTTTGAAAGATGGCAAACCTTGGTCTAAGGCTGTCTTGCTCGATGTTCGAATGTGTTTGTAGGCCGTTGCATCCGTCTATCACTGATGATTCTTCAGTGATTGTTTGAAATTAACGTGCAGAGCTGGTCGTCATGACAAAGTGATCTCAAAGATACCAGAGCAGTATCTGTCTTTTTGGCATTATCGACCTGTGGTCTGCCTTGCCTGTGTCTGTCAGGTGTAACTCCAGTGACTTGGAACCAAGTAGGAGGGTAGGATGGGAGCAATGAAGCATACATACCACTCTACAGAGCGAAAGCACAGCTTGGAGTATTCAAATTGCCTTACAACGCTACTCGGAGCTTAGCTTTGGGATCTTGTACAGCAATATGAGTCGACAAAAACAGCTGGAATATTTATGTAACTTGTTTTTCGGTTTTAAAATCGCTTATGTGTAGATTTAAACACAATATTAACGATTCCATAATTTCGGCGGAACTGAAGTCACAAAACATGTTAATTTACACGTGGGTCACATGACCACGTGGTTCAATTTTTGTTCACTAAAAAGAATAGTGCGGAGTCATCGTTGGGTACATGGTGAGTGATGTGCAAAATTTCGCTCATTAACTCAAATGAACAAGGGCGCAGTTACAAAAAATAACAAAGCGGAAATTTTCTATAGCTGCTAGGTATATTATAATGGTGTGAGTTAAACCGGTCCTAAACAAGGGAGTGAAACATAAACAGGTCATTGAAACCCGTTCTAAAGAAACGAAATGTGGTTTATTGTTTTAAGGGCAAGAATCAATTCCAAACTAAGGGAATACATTTTTTTAGAGTATGCGTTGAAACCTCTTTTAGTTAATCTTTAATAGCAACGAAACGATGGTGTGAGGGAAACCAATTCTAACAATGGTGTCATAAGATGAAGTTAAAACTACGGTTTGTCTTAACTTATTATTTTGTATCCTGCGGAACTTTCGTTCACTGTTTAGTATCTAAGGGTTTACATATTAAACATAGACCATTAATTAGATCTCTTGTGTGCGTGTGTGTTTGTGTGTGTGTGTGTGTGTGTGTGTGTGTGTGTGTGTGTGCGTGTGTGTGTCTGTGTGTATGCTTATGTCTATGAGTATGTTTCAAATCTTGGGATAACTTAATTATCTTTATCTGCGAGAATATCACCAGCATGAGCGCTAGCTACTTGTGCACTTGGTATACTTGCTGCTACACTACAGCATTTCATCTGACTGTTCACTACCTGAAATCTACAAATCCAAGCCTCGGAAGCTGTGGCTGTTTCACGCCATACTGTTCCCACTCTTCTGTAGGTTTAAAAAGGCTGTAGACGAAGTATACCACCAGTCCCAGCGTTGCTGTCAGTAGGACGGTTGTGACATCAAAGGGGACCAACCCAGCAGAAGCCGTGTCGACCGTTGCCATGGTGACCAGAACGCTATCAAGAATTAAGGTGTGGAATCTGAAATACAGAATTTAACAAGTAATTCTCAATCGTAAATGTTTCCACATAGACTTAATTTAGAACATTTAGAAAGCGAGCTGCTTCGACTCTGCCTGTCAGAGCCAACCAGGTCTGAAAGAATACACTATCAATGCAGAGATAAGGAGATATATGATTATTAAAAAAAAGAGGAAAGAAAATCTCACAAACTGAGGATCGAACAAACATCTTTCTTTGTTGAACAACAAAGAACATCACAGCTACGACCAAAGACGGTGACAAGAATGACAATCAGAATGGCTGAAAAAGGGAAGCGTGGTGCAGCTATTGTTCTCGTTTGAGGGATGAGGGAGAACTCACAGGAGAGGACGCAACAGAATGGAATGTGAATGAAATATGAAAATTGTGATGCGAAATTAGAAACTGTGAAGTTGTACTCATACATTGGCAGATAGTTAAGTTATCCTGAGATGGTTTGACAGAGAAAGAAAATTTCGTGAAGGGTCCTTGAACAAGCTCTATAAAATTTGGGGAAAAAAGTTGAAATCAAAGTGAAAGCTAAGTCTGTAAATTCCAAATGTCCTGTCAGTAATCCTGTACGACTGAGAGTCGTGAAGCTTAAGGATATATGCATCAGTAGACATATATTGATTTTCGGTTAAAAACCTCCCCACAAGGATGTCAAACGTATGTCTTCTGCGTGCGAAGGCGAGTGTCACAAGAATGAGTCCGAAACTAACAGCTTAGAATCAGTAACACTTAACATGTAAGCGTACGACCTGTAGGTTTTTCTCAAACCCCAGTTGTGAAAATCCCCTTTTACGTGTCTGTAAAGGTTATAAGTGCGATTTCAAAGAATCATCACATCACAAACAATCAAGAAAGAAATGCTTACAGTGCGTTCTATGCTTTCAATATCCTACCAGTCGCATGAACTGACGAAACACAACCACTCTTTATTCAGCTTATGACAGTGTCTAAACCTTATATAACAATATTTATAAAGACCAAAGTATTTTTTTTAAAAACTGTGACTCAACAATATGAGAGCGTAGATTTTATTCTGATGTTAGCTAATTAATGTCCATCGTGACTTTATTCGTCCGTGTGTTCAAACAATGCCACACTAAGACAAGGCGCAGCTGTCTGAAGGAGTTCACAAGTATTTGCGTCTAACAAACAAATCTACTTCACTGTGTCCCAGAAAACATATAAGAAGCTTTGGAAGAGGTGCGTGGTTTCAAAAAAATATCAAGAGTAAGTAAGTGATGCATTATGCTAGATTAGTATGTACGGTTCGGTGCGTGCGGGTATCATCATCATCATCATCATCATCATCATCATCATCATCATCATCATCATCATCATCATCATCATCATCATCATCATCATCATCATCATCATCATCATTGTCATTGTATAAAGAAGGAATTAAAACAGTTAAGACCTTGTTGTATTTCCAGAAAATATATATTTTTCACAGTTCAACGTTTCGCCAATAAGGCTTCATCAGGAACATAGTATTTGAGAAAAAAATAATAAATAAATGAGTGATGACGCCACAGCAACAAAGTGTTCACTATAAGTTACGTATTGTTGTGATTTGGACAATATCGGAAATAATATCTTCATCATCATCATATACACAGGCTAT